TGGATATAGCTCGCTAGCAGCCTCGCACCGAGGACCTATCCACGTAATCATTTACCCAGAATGCTTTGCGTGTAAATAAAATGGCCCCGTCCGTGTAATATATTTTTGAACTTTTAGTTTAAAAATTATAAAAACTAAACAGACTACAGTATTTTTACAGTCTTTATTTTACAGTTAATATATTTGTTTATCAAATAAAGTCTAATGTTACAACTGATCAGGGATCCACCAGAACAGGTGAAACAGATGAGCTTGATTATGGTGASTGAGCAGGGAGCTGTGGGTGAGAAACTGATCACAACGAATGGAACATGGAGTTTAACAACTAGTTAGTTTTCCTCAGACTGGTGAACCGTTCGCTCCARTTTTACATTGTTTTATATTTTTACCACTTTCTCTTCAAGCTTTTGCTTATTCCCTCTAAAACTGATGTGAAAATAGTCAAAGGTTTTGATGCTTTTATGGATTTATGGGATTTACAATCATTGCATTTTGTTTTTATTTACAAAGCATCCATTTTTTTCTGAAGCTAAGGATGTCGGTTGCTCATTTTGGCCTAATATTAAATCGCCTGCCTTGTTTTTAGCCTCCGTCTGCCTCCATCAGATTTTATATTTACTTTGCGAGGGCTCATTGGATATAAAGTTTATTTTTCATTCAGGTTAAGGGCATATTCTAACTCGACGCAGACGTCCAAAGACATCGCGACGTTTACCAGGATCCTCGACAGTCTTCTGGATGGATACGACAACCGACTGAGACCTGGTCTGGGAGGTAAGACCACCAAAAAAAGTCGCAAAAAAAAGGAAGAAAAAAAAAGGAAAAGCTAGATAAACGCAGCAGAAACAGAAATGCTTAAAGTAAGGAAGAAATTTTGTCCCCACTACAGAAAAAACAGTCAACATCTAAAATCTGAGGGTTTTTATTTCTAAAWGATGTTTAAAATTAGACAAAAATCTGCATTTTTTTAATTTGCTGCTGTCAGTGGTGAGGATGGGAGCAGGGGTCACGACGTCTGAAAGGAAAATGCAATTTCCCAGAGCAGATTCATTTCATGACGGATGAACACCCTCCTGTTCATCCTGCTTTGCATTTCTGTGAGAGAATCTGTCAGCTCGTTTCCGTCAGCCTTCATCCGAACACATCTCTTTAATACAAACACACCCTTGGAAGGAAACTCAGCCCTGAGACGAACATTTAGGGTTTTGTGCTGCCGAGGGAACACAATGTGAGCGTAATGAGCTGTGCCCGTGTCTGCATCTTAAATCTGAATCCTTTATTTGATGAAAACACCTATCTGCATTAGAAATGAGGGACTTTATGGCCATTAGATGGTCGGTTACAGACTTGGAGGTGAGTTTCATTGTTGGATGTGAAATCAAAGCTCTGATAAGATGTGAAAAAAGTCCAGATCAGACAGAAAAACATGGATTTATCGGCCGCACGAAGAAGGACACTGAGGAAATTTTATGCAAGAAGCGATTCGGTTTTTGYATCTGATTTTCCTTTAGTTGTTCTGCTGATGAAACAAACAGGAGAACATCTGTTCACATCAGAAATCATGTTCTTCTCTTTGTAATGACTTCATGATCCGTGTTCACGTCTCGCCTCTGATGACTTTTAAACGTCTCGCACATTTTGAGGACTACAAAGCAAACGATGTCAGCGTCACCTTCAGCGGCAGCAAGCAGACAGATTACAGTAATCTGAGGCTCCATCAGCAGATTCAAGGCTCCTTTTGTGTCTCCGGAGGAGATGGAAGACGGTTCCTCTTCTGTACCTCCGTGACATTAAATCAGAAATTAGACACATTGGAGGGAAGTCTTAATGACGTTCAGGTTTTTGTGAGCAGTCTGTGGTCAAACTTGGTGTCTGCAATAATCAAAAATGTGTTTTTTTTATTATATTTACCAACTTTGAGGATGCACAGAAATAGAAGTCGACAACAAATTGTTTTCATCATGTTGAAATTATTATTATTTTCTTACAAATATTAGATTTTTGCAGTTAGTTCTGTAAAATTGGATAAACAATTAATTTGTGGCCACGCATTACTATTGTGAGATAAATAACCTGAGGCCTCAAGATAAATAACCAGACTACTGGACACATTAGACATGGTCATGATATAAAAAATGCATGGCCATAAGATGAAGAACACTGAGCCACAAAATAACAACATGTGGTCATGAAATAATAACACATGGCCATGAGATGAATAATGCAGGTCCACAAGATAAATAACACTGGTCCACGAGATAATACATGGCCATGAGATAACAATGCAGGTATATGAGATAATGCTACACATTCTCACTCCCAACTCGTCACATATTGACGTTTAAGGTAAGGTTCCCTCTGCGTCTTATTTGGACGCAGAAGGTACCCCCCTCGCGTCACTCCTTGACGCCCACGGCTTTTCCGGGTTGCGCCACCAGGGGGCTTTGGCTGGCTCTAAAAATACATTTTAGAGAGGCTGAAGGTGTTAGAAGTTCAGAGCTTCATCAGTCGGTGGAAAACTGTGAATGTGCCAACATCAAACAAACTCAAATGCAGAGAAGAAGGAGGA